AAGCAGTGAACTTCCAAGATCTTGTTCCCCACATTATCTACCCTCACCCCCCCCCCCCCATTATCTACCCTCACCCCCCCCCCTCCCATCTACCATTCCCCATCGCTGCTCTGGAAGGTAATTGGCCTCGTCAATATTCACTACGATATCTGAGGCATTAAATGTCGAACTGACACGAGGATTAGTTATTTTGCGTTACCCTGTCCGGTTTAATTAAATCAAATGTGCCTCACTGAGTAGTGAATGATTGACGCTTTACTGATGCAACCTGGTAACCGGGCCCCCCCACCACCTGGTAACCGGGCCCCCCCACCACCTGGTAACCGGGCCCCACCACCTGGTAACCGGGCCCCACCACCTGGTAACCGGGCTCCTACCACCTGGTAACCGGGCCCCACCTGGTAAGGAGCAGCACCGGGTTACAGGCGCTATCTACCTGACCTTCCCCAGGGGTCCCAAGCCCACACACCTGTATCAACAAGTCACATATACCCCCACACATCTGTATCAACAAGTCACATATACCCCACACACCTGTGTCAACAAGTCACATATACCCCCATACCTGTGTCAACAAGTCACATATACCCCCATACCTGTGTCAACAAGTCACATATACCCACACACCAGCAGGCAACTCCACACACACACACACACACATCCAATAACGTCACGCCAGGAAGGCCGGAACAATGTAAAAAACCCAAAATGGAGCGGTGGGTACTGGTGCCGGGCGGGGAGGCCGACCCGTGGCCGACAAAACACGCCGACAACGCCGACATTCGGCAGATAAAATGCAATTCCACCACAGGGCTCGGACCATTGCTGCCCGGAATGTCTTTATGAAACGATAAATAATATTACAAATTCCATGGTTGGTGAGGGGCAGCGTTGTGTGTGTGTGTGTGTGTGTGTGTGTGTGTGTGTGTGTGTGTGTGTGTGTGTGTGTGTGTGTGTGTGTGTGTGTGTGTGTGTGTGTGTGTGTGTGTGTGTGTGTGTGTGTGTGTTTACTATTTGTGGCTGCACAACCGAGCTCTTTAGCTCTTGGACCCCGCCTTTCTAACCAATTTTCCACTGTTATATCTACTACATATATTTCTCTCTCTAGCACAAGCGCGAACACACACACATTCCCAAGAAGCAGCCCGTAGCAGCTGTCTAACTCCCAGGTACCCATTTATTGTTAGGTGAACAGAAGCACCAGGGTGAAATTGCCCATTTGTTTCCCAGCCTGCACCGGGTATCAAACCCGGCGGAGGACTGCTTGATACCTGCTTGATGGGGTTCTGGGAATTCTTCTACTCGCCAAGCCCGGCCCGAGGCCAGGCTTGACTTATGAGAGTTTGGTCCACCAGGCTGTTGCTTGGAGCGGCCCGCAGGCCCACATACCCACCACAGCCCGGTTGGTCCGGCACTTCTTTTAGAAAACAGTCCAGTTTTGTCTTGAAGATGTCCACTGTTCTGGCAATATGTCTTATACTCGCTGGGAGGACGTTGAACAACCGCGGACCTCTGATGTTTATACAGTGTTCTCTGATTGTGCCTATGGCACCTCTGCTCTTCACTGGTTCTATTCTACATTTTCTTCCATATCGTTCACTCCAGTACGTTGTTATTTTACTGTGTAGATTAGGAACCCGGCCCTCCAGTATCTTCCACGTGTATATTATTTGGTCTCTCTCTCGTCTCCTTTCTAGTGAGTACATCTGGAGAGCTTTGAGACGATCCCAATAATTTAGATGCTGTGAGAGGAGGCGGCCAGCCTATAGGCATAGAGCTGAGCATCTTGCAGGGACGACGCCCGGGCCGGAGATGAGTATAGATGTAGCTCGGTGATTGACCACTTCCAAAGGTCACTAGAGTCTCCAGCCCGCAGTTACATTCTTTATTGAAGCTGGTCTCGTGACCTTTGCCCCCTCCTCCGCCACACTGGTAACCAATACTGCTGTTAAGTGTCTCCAGCCTGACACACACTTAACACTTTTAACCAGTGGTGAGGGCTGGGAAGGTGCGTATTTAACCTGTGCTCGGAGTTACCGCGGGTACCAACTGTTAACTAGTGTGAGGTAGTATATATATATATATATATATATATATATATATATATATATACATATACAAGCAGGAGGGAGAGGAGGGAGTATGGGGGGATAGTGGAGGTGGTGTGTGTTGGGTGAAAGAGAGGGGGGAGGATTGTGTGTGGGGGGGGAGGGGTCGAGGGGGGTGAAGGAGGAGGAGGTGGAACTAAAGCTGTGAGGTGCAGAGGTACCTGGAGCTACTCTCTACCACTCTTGGGGGCAGGCGGTCTCTCTCTCTCAGCCTGGACACACCCACCCACCTGCCGTCTGACGTGGTACCCACACCTGACCCCGTCCAATACACGTGACAGTAGTCGTGTATATATATATGACTGGCACCACTCACTAACGACCCTCACAGCTCAGTGCCACCTGTTAGTATTCAATGGCCTTCAGGGCTGTAACTCTGTACCGAGACTCCTCTGTATCGTACACACCACGACCCGTCACTCTCCACGACCACGTCACTTTCACGACCACCACATCGCGCAAACACAACACACACGTGATGTGAACACGTGTGTCATCAAATACTGACTTTACACAATGGGGGTCGAACCTGCATCCATAGAATCCCATAGTAACAGGCACATCATGGTTCAATGGGTAGCGTGTGCGCCTGGGTGCCAAGAGACGCAGCTTCCATGCCACTGTCCGGGGCCGTAATATTTGCTCACATAATAGCCGCAGTTACTTGTCCACTGTGCCCCTCCACTCCGGGTATGGTTGACCGGCCGGAACTGGGTTTTCCAGCACGACTCAATATCATACACTCTGAAGTCTTCCAAGCTAACTTGATCTTTGAAGACAGTTTTATTTTCCTGCTCGAATCTGGTTCTGTAGCGAGAGAATAGCGGGACGGGTGGTGAGGTGGTGTGGTGTGGTGTGGTGGGTGGTGTGGTGGGCGGTGTGGTGGGTGATGAGGTGGTGTGGTGTGGTGTGGGTGGTGTGGTGGGTGGTGTGGTGTGGTGGGCGGTGAGGTACCACACCGCCGGGGCTGGAGCAGGCAAGGTGAGGTACCTAGCAAGAAGGGCCCCAAGAACAATGACCTGACGCAAGTCCTTCTTGTAAGGGTTGGGGGGTAGGGGGGGGGGGTGAGGGGGGCACTTACCCCCTATACGTGTATGTGTGTGGTGGGGGGGAATAAGCTCCTGGGCCCCGCCTCTCAAATAGTATTCGACACATGAAGAATTAAAGTAGTTTGCTATGATGTCTTCCATCCGGGTGTCCGGTGTGTGTGTGTGTCCTGTGTTTCTCACCCGCCAACGATGAGAGACTTACCTCTGTGTCGCCTTTCTGTGTGACTCATCTGCTTTAGTCCAGGACCTTCCCTGGTGACAAATCTCTCCACTTTCTCTTGCGTTGTGCTTGCTTAACAAGGTGTGGCTTCCACACTGTCGCTTCATTCTCTTATAGTGGTCTCACATACGTGACGCCCTCCAGTGCGCTGTAGGATTCCTCGTAAAGGTTTCTCATTGGCGTCCTTACGTTCTCCAGACGTAAGGACGTCAGATAAGCCGCCGACGTCACCTTGGAACGCACGCCTCAGATTATGGATTCGGTGCAATATTCACCAGCTAGGTGAACAGGCGCATCAGGGTGAAAGAAACCCTGCCCATTTGTTTCCTCCTCCGCCGGGAATCGAACCCGGGCCAGTAGGACTACGACCCGCCATAGCGTTGTCCACTCAGCCGCGAAGCCCCACGTGTTTATATGTGTGTGTGGGGAGGGGCTTCAGCTCCTGGGACCCGGCCTTTGACTGCCGGTTATCCGGTGCATGACTCCCAGCCTTCTTGTGCTGCACATGAGACAAGTGCACAACTACACCTGGAGTGAGCTTGGATTAGAGTGATAAGGATTTGGGATGGGACGGCGGAAAGGAATAATCCCCAACCACTTGGACGGTCAGGGATTGAACGCCGACCTGCATGAAGCGAGACCGTCGCTCTACCGTCCAGCCCAAGTGGTTGGGTCCAGTTTTGGGGAGCAGTAATGAAGCTTCTACTGGCGTCCCTTTGAAAAGTCGTTGAATACTGCTGGTGCAGTCACGCCTGGGACTGCGTACATCTGCTGTGTACGTCATTTTAAGTGCGGTCATGGAAGCCCCATAACCATTATAGAACATACGTCGAGACCCTCAAATTATAGACGGTTGGAGCGTCAACCAATCACGAGGCGGCTTCAGGTTCCCACACACGAAATTGAAGCCGTTTCAGGTTTCTCGCTGAAACCATCGATAATTCCAAGGAACTGATGATGACATAGTTAACATGGGTGGCAGGAGAGTCAATAGGGTGTGGGGTGAGGGGTGGGCATGCCAGGGTGTACGAGAGGGTGGGCATGCCAGGGTGTACGAGAGGGAGGGCATGCCAGGGTGTACGAGAGGGAGGGCATGCCAGGGTGTACGAGAGGGAGGGCATGCCAGGGTGTACGAGAGGGTGGGCATGCCAGGGTGTACGAGAGGGAGGGCATGCCAGGGTGTACGAGAGGGAGGGCATGCCAGGGTATACGAGAGGGAGGGCATGCCAGGGTGTACGAGAGGGAGGGCATGCCAGGGTATACGAGAGGGAGTGCATGCCAGGGTGTACGAGAGGGAGGGCATGCCAGGGTGTACGAGAGGGAGGGCATGCCAGGGTGTACGAGAGGGAGGGCATGCCAGGGTGTACGAGAGGGAGGGCATGCCAGGGTGTACGAGAGGGAGGACATACCAGGGTGTACGAGAGGGTGGGCATGCCAGGGTGTACGAGAGGGTGGGCATGCCAGGGTGTACGAGAGGGAGGGCATGCCAGGGTGTACGAGAGGCAGGACATACCAGGGTGTACGAGAAGCAGGACATACCAGGGTGTACGAGAGGGAGGACATGCCAGGGGTGTAGAAGAGGGCCAGAGCACGACATAACACCACAAAACACTATACACTTACGGCACACTCTGCAGCAAAGTGTCGACAGCCCTGAAGCACAGTCTCGGAGTAGCGGCGGAGGTCGGTGTAGCGGCGCATGCTGTCCAACACAGCCTCCATGCTGCCCGCCAGCATGGGGCCCTCACGGGGCGGGCAGGACGAGCGGGGTCAAGTGCCATCTAGGCATAGCGGCGGGGGGCGGGAAGGGGCGGCGACGGGTGGCACTCTGAGAGTGCCAGGATAACACCGTGGGTGGCACTGTTCTGGGTGCCGCCCCCCCAGCCGCGCCTCACCACACACTCACCATTCCTCTACCTGCAAGGTGGTGGGGGCCTCACACGTCACCCAAGACACTCTACATCACTCCCCCCGTCACTCCAGAAGAGGTTACGGGCTCGCCATAGCCCGTGCTACATGGACACTTCGTTCTGAGTAGCTAAAGCTAAAACAACATTGAGAAGATGCTGCACTCACGGGAGATATAAACACGCGTGATGCTGACCAATCACATCTCATGCACGCTACAGTCCACAACAGACAGGTGAGTCGGTGTAGTGATCCATTAGCCCCCTTCTATAAGTCATCTTCACCTAGAGACGCGTGTTCACCATCAATGGGAACATTATATTCACTCGTTCCGTTCATCGTTTCATGAAAGAGGTGAATTACCATTGGAGACGGCGCTGTTAGGAGTGAGTGTTAAGGTCATTTAGTAGCCCTGGGGCCAGATTCACGAAGCAGTTACGCAAGCACTTACGAACCTGTACACCTTTCCTCAATCTTTGGTGGCTTTGTTTACAATTATTAAACAGTTAATGAGCTCGGAAGCACCAGGAGGCTGTTTATAACAATAACAACAGTTAATTGGTCAGTTCTCATGCTTGTAAACTGTTTAATAAATGTAAACCAAAGCCGTCAAAGATTGAGGAAAGATGTACACGTTCGTAAGTGCTTGCGTAACTGCTTCGTGAATCTGGCCCTTGGAGACTGTGTGTACTCGTTCAAGGGTCATCTCCACACCCCTCATCATCTCGTTACCATGGAAACAAAGACCCCATACAGCTTCTCTCTCTCTCTCTCTCTCTCTCTCTCTCTCTCTCTCTCTCTCTCTCTCTCTCTCTCTCTCTCTCTCTCTCTCTCTCTCTCTCTCTCTCCTGCCTACACAACATCTGCACACCACCACGTGTACTCATCTACATATACTCACATAAGCTCATCTACATGTATTCATTCGTTATTTTTTTGTTTACGTGAATATCAGCATATATTCGTCCCGTATTACGAGGCTCCCAGGAATCAAAGGTCACTATGGGGGGGGGGTTTAATGGTATACAATTTATTATAGATCAATAGAATCACTTACATATCATTGGGTTGTATGTATGTATATATATAGTGTCTTACCACTACGCCACGGAGACTCCAAATTACAATCGTAATTGCAAACGTTCCCCTATTGAACTAGGGTGGGGGGGGGGGGTTGAAGAGGGGGGTGTTAAGGGGGTTTTGAGGGGTTGGGGGAGGGGGAGAAGGGGTAGAGGAAGGGTGGGGGGGAGAGGGAGAGAATTAGGCCTTTTGTGAATATCCTCCACCGGTTTCGCCAATAGGTGTCAGTAATTTGCATTATTTACAATTTGGAATCCGGACACGCTCGCTGCTTCACACCCTGGTGCCGGGAATAAATGTATTATATATATATATATATATATATATATATATATATATATATAAAACTTATATGCAGTTGGATTCCTTATTCCTGTGTTTATCACTAATAAAAATTTGGCGTGTTTAATGTAAATTGTTCCTCGATCAACACTAATATTGTCGATCAATTTATAGATAATTGTTTGGGCAACACCAGAGATGAGGAAGGCTCGTTACTGGGGTCGTCAGACCGGTCGTTAAGAGCAGGTTAGTAAGATGTGTCACGACGCTCTCCTTGTGCAACCCGTCCTCGACTCAAGTCCATTACATTCAGCGGTCGACCCCACAGACGCATTCATAAATTTTAACATACTGTTCACTCAAAACAGGAATTTTCTCAAGTATAAATTAATATTATAATATATTAGCATATTGTGCATATATAGGTATAGGTTAGGTTAGGTCAGGTGTTTAGGTTCTGTTGGTGATTATTTGTATTTGTAGTACGTGGGTGAAGGATTTACAGCGTTGTGGTTCGAACAAAATTCGTCAGTGAAGCACTTGTTCCGGATATGTTCGAACGTCAGCAGTTGTGAGTCGTGTGTAAACCGCTTTTCATTCATAAACAGGGGGTTTGGCGGGTGCATGGAATCACTTTTGGATCTTTGTTTGGAGGACGGGCTGGCCACAAGGCAGCCCGTCCTCCAAACAAAGATCCAAAAGTGATTCCATGCACCCGCCAAACCCCTGTTTATGAATGAAAAGCGGTTTACACACGACTCACAACTGCTGACGTTCGAACATATCCGGAACAAGTGCTTCACTGACGAATTTTGTTCGAACCACAACGCTGTAAATCCTTCACCCACGTACTACAAATACAAATAATCACCAACAGAACCTAAACACCTGACCTAACCTAACCTATACCTATATATTCACAATATGCTAATATATTATAATATTAATTTATACTTGAGAAAATTCCTGTTTTGAGTGAACAGTATGTTAAAATTTATGAATGCGTTGTGGGGTCGACCGCTGAATGTAATGGACTTGAGTCGAGGACGGGTTGTACAAATACAAATAATCACCAACAGAACCTAAACACCTAACCTAACCTATGCCTATATATGCACAATATGCTAATATCTTATAATATTAATTTATATTTGAAAAGATTCCTGTTTCGAGTGAACACCATGTTAAAATTTATGAATTGCGTCTGTGGGGTCGACCGCTGGATGGAATGGACTTGAGTCAAGGACGGGTTGGCCCCTGATTGGCAGGCGCTTGATTGCCTAACTGGCGGTGAGTGCTGGACGCACAGGTCGTCACGGCCACCTCCACAGCACTCTGCACCTCCGGCTACAGAAGAAGTTTATCATTCTCCGGGAAGTAGTGTGGGGGGTCGGACGCCCCCCGCCCCAGCCCACCGTCGCCCCCCTTCGCTACGCAAAATGATTGGCTGTTCTTCCACCAATCGGACACAATGTCTTGAGACGATATCAAGACGCCCACTCCCGACCACCTCAAGTATTCGGTAAGCTTAATTTAGTTATTTTTTCCTTTCTGTGGGAACGTCATTCGACCCCTCAAGGTGTTCAAGAGAGATCTTGATAAGCACCTCCAAAGGATACCTGATCAACCAGGCTGTGACTCATACGTCAGGCTGCGAGCAGCCGCGTCCAACAACCTGGTTGACCAGTCCAGCAACGAGCAGGCCTGGTCGACGACCGGGCCGCGAGGCCGTTGATCCCCGGAACCCCCACAAGGCAGCATCCTCACTGGCCTGTGAAGTAATAAACATAAGCAGCATCCTTCCTCCAATATGACCTAATTACTTTACTCTGATGAGGCAAAACTGTAAACTAATTTCTCCAATAAAGATGTTAATTATGGGTAATTGCCAGGAGGGTGTCGCCGGAGACCCGAGACTGTCTTGTTTAACACCCACGGGTGTGTGACCTCACCCACTCCAGGCCCTGAGTAGTGTCCCAACACTAGCCTGGGTGTTCTCTGTCAAGTCTGCCAGCTTTCAACGTTAGCTCCTGCTTCTAACGTAAACACGAACGTCTCTAAACGTTAGCTCCTGCTTCTAACGTAAACACGAACGTCTCTAAACGTTAGCCCCTGCTTCTAACGTAAACAGGAACGTCTCTAAACGTTAGCCCCTGCTTCTAGCATGAGCAGGAACGTCTCTAAACGTTAGCCAATGCTTCTAGCATAAGCAGGAACGTCTCTAAACGTTAGCCCCTGCTTCTAACGTAAACAGGAACGTCTCTAAACGTTAGCCCCTGCTTCTGTCATGAACAGGAACGTCTCTAAACGTTAGCCCCTGCTTCTGTCATGAACAGGAACGTCTCTGAACGTTAGCCCCTGCTTCTAACATGAACAGGAACGTCTCTAAACGTTAGCCAATGCTTCTAGAATAAGCAGAAACGTCTCTGAACGTTAGCCCCTGCTTCTAGCAAAAGCAGGAACGTCTCTAAACGTTAGCTCCTGCTTCTAACATGAACAGGAACGTTCGTAAACTTTACAGTGTATCTCTTAACACCAGCTGGGGGCTGCCCAATAGACGCTACTTCACGCCTGCAACACCAGCTGACTGCCCCCCCCACACCCCCCTACCCTAGTATACCGCCACGACAGGAGGCGCCTTTGAGAGCCTGGCGTCTCCCTCCGCAATGAACGGCCTTGCAAACGCGAAGCAAACACTGGTGTCAACAAACCTCGGGACACTACGCTTCAAACAAGAGAGGGGGAGAGAGAGGCTAAAATGAGAGGAAAATGAATGGTGAATAAAATTGGAGTGGGTGAAAATGAGGTGGAGAAAAACCAGGAGGGAAGACGAGAGGGGGGATATGAGGGTGAGACAGGGGCTTAGACAGGGGCTTAGACAGGGAAAAAAGGAAGGTCTAGACGGACCTTCAGATGGATCTATAATTTAAATCTAAATGGGCAGATGGATCTATAATTTCCTGACTAATAGAACCCAATTTGTAATAGTCAACAAAATCAAATCAGGTCCATCAACCGTGAAGAGCTCAGTCCCTCAGGGTACTGTGCTTGCTCCAGTACTCTTGCTTATTCTCATAATGGGCATAGACAAGGTCACAAACTATAGTGCCGTATGAGAAAATCATACGTGTAATGTGTATAGCACTGTATCATTCTTTGCAGATGACACTAGGATTTTTAAGAGAGTAGACGACATACTGCAAACCGCCAATCTTGTGTTAAACAGGTCTTTCAATGAGCCACATAAAATAATATGGTATTTAATGAGGATGAGTTCCAGCTCCTGCGCTAAGGAAAAAATTAAAATAAAACACGGAAACCACATACAAAACGCAGTGAAATCCTACCATAGAACGGAAAAGCAATGTAAAGGATCTGGGTGTACTCATGTCGGAAGACCTTACCTTTAAAGAACACAATAAAGTAGCCGTCACAACTGCAAGAATGACAAGTTGAATTACAAGAACCTTTCACACTAGAGATGATATATAGATGATCATACTTTTCAAGACGCTAGTGCTCTCTAGAGTGGAGTACTGTTGCACAATGACAGCCCCTTTCAAAGCTGGAGAAACTGCTAACCTGGAGAGCGTGCAGAGATCCTGTACTGCTAGAATCCATTCAACAAAACGTCTAAAGTGTTTGGACTGATTAAAATGTATAAATCTGCATTCTGTATAGTGCACGCAGGAGATACATAATAATCTACACGTGGAAAATAGTAGAGGTGCTGGTCCCAAACCTGCACACACAAATACCAGAAGGCATGGCAGGATGTGCAGAATACCCCCGTTGAAGAGCAGACGCCAGGTACCCAGGGGCAACCTGTCCTTTCATCGAATACGTCGCAGTTTTTACGGAATCAAACAATCCGTTGAAACTGAGACGTACTGGTAACAATTAGGCAAATATTGAAATTTAATATACGTCACCAGGCAACAGCCTGGTCATGAACAGGAACGTCTCTGAACGTTAGCCCCTGCTTCTAACATGAACAGGAACGTCTCTAAACGTTAGCCA